TATAGACTGCTGTCACGTCTAAGACAACGCTGTCCGTGACAAACCTGAAAACCCCATAAAGCCATCTTCACTTGTATACTGGCGAGAAAAGTCTTCTTTGTGTCTCAGTTTGTATGTTTGAATCTTCATGCTAACACTTGTGGAGCACTCCCTGGACTTCTTCTACTGATTTACAGTCAGCTGGCTCCAAATGTCCTGCCCTCAAGCTCAAAGACCCACCAAGTAACACTTCCCCACAGAACATTTCTTCAAGAAAACAGAGCCCTTCGGTTGGGTTTGTGTAAAAATAAAAGGTGTTGAAGGCATTTCCTGCACCACTGGCTGTCCCCGTCCTGAGGTGACAGTGTGGCATATACAGGCCTTCTTCATCTCCACATCCCTGTGGCTTAAAGTGGATTGGTTCTTCACATCCCTGCAGGTTGAGTATTCCACTGTTGGCATCCCCACCTCTCCCATTAGCAAGAGAGGAGCAAACATCTCCTAAGGGCATCCTCTAAGGTTGTACTACCAGCCCCAGAGACCTTGGGGTGTGCAGGGCTCAGGACAACTAAAGTCACCCCCACACTCTCATCCATGCTCACTGATGGTCACACCCCCTGAGAAAAGCAGGTTTCCAGGTGGGAAGTGACAGGACCTCTCTCCCTCCCAGGACCCATCAGAGAAAGACACGCTGCCCCACCTTAGACAGACAAATCTTCCATGATTCTTTTCTGCCATAATACTAACCTGTTCTTTAAATCTCTAAACATTTTTGAGCCAGTGTTTGCCTTTTCCTAAACCCCAACACAAGTCATTTTCTAAAGGCAGAGGGAAGTATCAGTCTCAGGAAATCCTTAATACCTTTCTAATTTTTTCTTCCAAGATTAGAAAATCACAGGCAAACTGGAGACAACATCTCTGGCTTTGATGTTTCATGTGGCCAAATGACTCCAATAATAATTTCAAATCCATGAGGAGAGGTGGGTGGTGGTGCAGGAACAGCAACCAGACGCCAGTCGATTTTAAGTTATCGCTTCCTAAAGAACACCACGTGGGGACCCCTGCACCATCCAAAGCAGATGAACTGGAATTTGTGTGCGCACATATGGAATACTCAGTTCACTCATAAAGATGCTATTTATCTATTCCTTGGTTGTTTTCTTCAGCCCTTGTGAGCATCAGTTCAGAAAACCTGAGAAAGAGAATGTACCAGATCATGAACCATGGCAGGGCATGTAAACGCCGTTACATGGAAGAAAGAAGGTCCTTTATCTGGTACCAAGATGCCTGATGACTTCAGGCTTGCAAGTTTAGAGCCAGGTCCTCAGGCGGAAGGAGAGGAGAGTTTTCCAGTTTACAGAGGTGAGGTTAGGAGAGCGATGGAAGCCCGAGCAGGAACCTGTCTGAGGATTGTTGACTGAAACCTCTCCTCTCACTTCCGTTGGGTCTCAGTTTGTTCAGTGCCTGTGAATTTCTACAGAAACCAAGGAGAGGGCTGAGTTTAGACTGATGCAGTGTAAAGAGTCAGAGGCTGAGTGGAGATGGAAGCAGGCTTTCTCACTCTGGGAGTGCTTTGGTGGGATTTGGTGTTTCAGTTTATGGCACTGAAGTTCATACCCCAGTGTGACTGAGTCTGTAGGTAGGAGCTTCTAGAGCACGTGCAGGTTACAGACAGTATGTTTCTACCAAAATACTTTAAGCTCTAGCTAATTCCCTTTGAAACTGAAAGAGAAAATAATGCATTGTATTTACTGATCGAAAACTCACAATTCTTAGCATTTCTTCTAAACATTCTCTCAACCTGACTTGGAACAAGAAGATTTTGCAAACACCACGATTAAAAGTGCTATTTAAATTATTCAAGTATAAGCTTATCAGATTCTGAAGCAGTGGTTGTTTAATATTTGTTACAAGACTCTTCAGGGTTAAGGCCAGATGATACTTCTTTTGCAAACTTCATAGTAAGTTAGTGGTTTACATTTTCTAGCCATTCTACCTGAGACTGAAAAAAATAATACCTACTTCATAGGTCTTCTTTATTTTTGTGTTAAGGTCTTAATGAAGGATACAAAGTTTATGTTCAAAAAAATAAATTTGTTTTAGGAGAATGTGCAGTACTCTGTTAGATCACCATAGGGATTTTGAGAGAAAATTTACATCTGGTGTGAAATCTACTCTTCTTGAGTGTGAGACACTTTTCTGGGATCTCTTCCATTACAAAGGACTGAGCAGACACAGAACACTTCGTGGATTATCTTATGTCAGCCCAGGTCATACACTGGTTAGTATTCATCTCCAAATTGTCTCATCAGATAACTGCCCCACAATCTTCCTTCTTTACTTTCTTTACTTTAAATAAAGTTTTGAAATACATGAAGCATTTAAAAATAGTTTAAGGAGAATTATGAAGGACATGCCCATGCTCCTGTCACCTAAGTCAAGGAGGACAACATTGATCAAATAAATAGCCTTTGCCCACGCGTGTTCTCCCATTCACAACCCACTCACCCCTAGAAGGAGTTATCACTAGTTCACCATTTGTGATATTTTCTTAAACCTTATGACTGTATGATGATAAAACAGACAATAATAATAAATAGTTTCACTATCTTTCAATTTTATTTATTTTATTGAGACAGGGTCTCATTATGCAGTTCAGGCTGACCTTGAGCTCACTTTTGTAGCCCAGGTTGGTTTTGAATTTGCAATGATCCTCCTACCTCAGCCTCAGGAGTGCTGGGATTACAGGTGTGTGTCACCACACCTGTAATGACTGGGATTACAGGTGTGCGTCACCACACCTGTGAAATGACTTTCAATTTTAAAAACTAGAGTCATTTTCTAAATCTTTTAGATAACTTTCTTCTTTTGTTCAGTATTATGCTTTTGTTGTTTGTAGTATTCTACTGTAGCTTAGTCTGATTTGTTCATTCTCTGTTTTATACTATTGCCTTTTATAGTATTGCATTTCTCTATCCTACTGTTCAGTTGTTTGGTGTTATTCTTACTTGGGGTTATTTTGAACACACTGCTATGGGCATTTGATGTTGCTGGGTGACAGGCTCTTCTACTAGAAAAATGTCTGTTTTTCAAAGTGTTTGTACCAATTTACACTTCTGGTAATATTTACGTCATTGCCCACATTTACCATTATATGTAGTGAGGTTTTAATGCTTGCAAACCTGGTAGGTATGTAGTATTCAATTGTGATTTTTAAATTTATATTTCTCTAATTATGAAAATGAACATGTTTACTTAAAATTCTAGGTAAATTATGTGAATAATATCACAAAAACTCTGTTTTTTATTTCTATTGTGCTAGGAATCAAATCCAGGCCTTGTGCAAGCTAGGTAAATGTTCTATAACTGAGCACATCCCTCAGCCCATCTTGTCAGATTTTTTAAATATACATGGCTAACTTGGTCTCTAAAATGTTATCAAATTCCTTTACTATCAATAATTCATGTTAAGTATTTTTAACAACTGGGGAAGTAAAAATGACCTTCCTTTGCTTTTATTTCAAATTCCTCTGGATACTGGTACATTTGAACGTTTGAAGTTATTTTTCTAAGCATTTACTTTTGTTGTCCTATTGTAGATGGTTTATTGGATAATATTCCGGGTATCTAATTTTTAACCTTAAAATTCTAATATAAAATTTCATTGATATTAGTAACATAAAGACAATTGATTTCATGCCAAGTGGAGTTTTAAAAGCATACACTCCTAAATTATAATTTCAGGTGAATTCAAAGGCATTAGTATTTGTAAAAGTGCTTTGTATGCTTGGAAAGAATAAAATAAAGGGAATGACCTCAGCTTCCAGAAAGATGGAGTAGACATTATTTCCTTATTTCTCTTCTTAGGTACAACTAAACACTCTGGACATAATATATAAGACAAACCTAACAAGACTTTCAGAGGTGGAGAAAAGCAGACAGACCAGGTAGGAGCTTTGAAATTTGAAGAAAGCACCTCTGTGCTCTCTTTTCACGTCCAGTATCCCAGATTGGTTGCTAGGGAAGCAGGCAGCCCGGAGATTCCAATGAACACAAACAAAAAGAAGCCTAAAAAAAATCCTGCTCTTCCTAAGCAAGGAACCAAGAAACAGGAAAAATATAAATGTAGTAAATAATCTTCCTACCACAGCAGAAACCAAAGGAAAGCCTGACAAAAGCTCCTTGGAAGCCCAGGCACCCACTCTCTCCAGATGCCTCAATATACACCCCCCCCCAGGTTGATAACAAAGAAGGCTGAGGTAGGAGCCAAAACTCTCATCCGATTGGGCAGTAATGAGGCCCCTTTTCCCAGGTGGTCAGTGGGCATCACTTCCACCCCTACTCAGCAATAATGTAGAACTCTTCACTTCCTTTGCCCCTCGCCCACAGTGTGGGGCCAGGAGAAGCCACAAGCCATAACCAGGCACCGCCACCCTCCCAGCCAAGATGGGACAGTGCAGGACTAATGGGCAGCTAGGATAGAGTCATCCCTGGGCGTTCAGTTGAGGCTCCACGCAGGCCGTAGGAGTAAAGGAGAGAAAAGTCTTTCTCTAGAAGATGGGAGAAAAGTCATTATAGATAACCAATCTCTATGGATGTTCTTACTTAAATACATAATACCAAGTAGTATTTATGGTTTGCTTGGTAAAATACTGTAACCATACCAGTCCTTATTTAACTCCTTGGCTGTTTTGTGCGGTTCCACCCCACACCACAGGTGGCAGGAGCAGCTCTTTCTAGCTTATGATTTTCAAGGCAGCGTGTATCTCTATAAGAATCGACCAAATTACTATTAAAGAAGGGGCAATCACCATAGAGTCCGTGACCCTATACCCACGGTTACTCTCTTTAGGAATCCTTCTCTTGTGATTATTCACGTTCAATCGCATAATACGCAAGGAAAAGTTCGCCTCCACGGAAACCCAAGCAGAGCAAAGGCAAACATCAAGTGGGAGTCCTGCTCGCACCCCCGCTCGAGCGCTGAATAGTGCGGCCCACTTGCCGGGCTCCACCCGGAAGTCGTCGCGGCGGCGCGCCGAGATGCTCCATTCTCGCCCGGGCAGCCAGCGTCGTGCGGAGTCTTCTCTCCGGCTGTCTCCTCCCTCGGCCGGCCAGATCCATGGGTCCTCACGGCGACGGCCGGAGCCGGGCTCGGGAGCGGCCAGGTCCAGCGGGGCTGCGGCGCTCCGGGGGCCTCCGGGATGGCGTTGCCGTGTTCGCCACCGTGGCCGCGGTGTTTACCGTCACGCTGCCCCCGTCTGTGCCGGGGGGAGACTCGGGTAAAGTATGCGGGCCGCTGAGTCGGGCTATCCTGGGTCTGCGGGCTCGGGCTTCGCCGCGCGGCTGCAGCAGACCCACCGGAGGGGCTTAGGCGCCTCTCCACTTCCAGGTCGCTCAGCTGGGCCTGGGTTTTGTCTTCCGTCCCTCTCGAGGCCGCAGCTTTACCCAGCCCTCAGTGTATTTCAGACCAGTGGAGTCCCGCATTCCTGGAGAGCGTGATGGTGGCGGAGAGGATGCGCCTGTAACGGAGGAGCAGCTGTGTCCTCCGCGGGGCTGAGTTAGGGAGACAAGCGGAATGTAACCGAGATCGGGGCGGGAGGGTCAGGAGTCAGGCAAGGCTTCCCGGAGACTAGTCAGCCAGGCAAAATATTTGGAGGAGAACCTTTAAGAAAGTGGTGACCAGGTGCATCTTAAAGCGTGCTGCTTCTATGAGAAAGAAAAGCTTGGCCCTGGGTCACTGAAATGATCCGCACACTTGCTCTGTATTTGAGACTGGAAGGAAGGTCCAGGTTGTGATTGGGGTTTTGCTTTACTGCCAAATTAAAGTGATCATCCAGGGATGCCTGGTGGCCATTAGTTTTGTCACAGTGGTGCTGTAACTTCAGGCAGTGAATCTATGCCCTGAACAGACGGTGTATTCTTTGTCACCTCCCAGTTAATGTGAGTCACAAGTCCAGGGCAAGGTCGCAGACCAGGTGGTGGCTGGGTTGCAGTCCTCCCAGGCTGCGTTCGGGGAATGCCTGCTTCTCGGCTCAGTCCAGTTCTTCACTGTGCTGGCCTCCTTACTCTAGCAGACTCTGTCATGAGAAAAAGAGAGCGCCTCTGTCTGACACCTCTGTCATTTCGTGCCCTAATCCTGGAAGTGATATGCCACTGCCCTGTTTTATTCCTGGAAGGCAGTAAATCCAGCGCAGTTCAAGGGGGAGAGGATTACAGCAAGCGTAGGGGATTATTGGGGGCCGTCTTCAGCGCTGCCCACCACATCGAGGACCCTTGATGTTCCATTTTCCACTTCATTACCCTCACTTTTTCTTGTTCTGTTGAACAAATAGGAGTTGTGTTCCATTAGCGTAGTAGAGACCATGTTTCCAAGATTCATATGATAATGGAAATACCTTCGTGTTTGTTTTAACACTGGGAAGCATTCACAAGTTAGGTAGTTTTGTTTCTTGTTTAAAAAAAAAAATAGCTACTTAGAATTGTTTGGGCCTGCAGTATGGGAGTGGGATGAGGAATGATCTCCAGGATTTACTGAGCACTTAACTGGGTATCAGATACTATTCCAAGTACTCGATACAGGCACTGTTGTATCCCTCCCAGCAGCAGTGTTACCTTCCAGTTACAGACCAGGAAACTAGAGCTGGGTCCCAGTTGCAGCAAGGTTCTTTCTCGGCTTGCAGGGAAAGAACCCAAGTAGATTAAGGTTAGAACATGATCTTGTAACCTCTACTCTTTGTGAAAGAAATTTAGGAAATTCTTTGTTAAATCCACCACCACACACATAGTGATATTTAAAGTTTATGTTGTTACCGCATTTTTATTAATACTGCATTTTTTCCCCCAAAAGAGCAAAGTTAATGTATTTACCTTGAGCTACCAAACTTTTCAAGAATTCTCATCTGTTTGTTTAGGTTGATCAAAATAGTGGTTGTTTCTAATTTTTTGATGTTTACTTTGGGGGATGATAAATAAACTTTTCCCACTACATGGCAACACATATGGAAATTTGTTTAACTATAGTTGTGATAATTTTGTTTATGCATTGAATGTACTATTCTCCTTGAATGTTTATGAAATATATTTTCTATCAATAAACAGAACCCATCTCCAAACCAAAATAAAGCATTTATTCTTTTTCCTGTTAGTCCTAATTTAAACTTCATAAATCCATCACATTGTGTGGCTCGCCAAATTATTTTTTGGTCTACTTGACACACACAGTTCACTTAAGAGCAGGAGTGGTATTCTAGTCTTTACTAAGTTTACATGTATGACTGTGTATTTCAAATATAGTGTAGTAAACAGACTTACTATGTGACACTGTAGTAAATAATTAATATTAAAAAGGAAATGTTAAAATCTGTTTGCATGTCACACCACAAAGCTTTGAGTCTTAAATCTTGGGCCTTGATGCCAAAAGGTCTTATTAGACCAGAGAGTTTTGGGAGTATGGTTGGGGAACCTTCCATTAAAACAAAGCCACACAGTGACCACCAGGTAGTTGTGATGCAGGACTTGATTTTGAGGAGACCCTAGTGTAAAGAGTTGGGTGAAAACAAGGACTCCAGAAGCTGTTTGGTGTCTTTTTTTTCTTTTGGTATTCATTTCCTCACATTCAATTTAGAAGCATTATTTTCCTTTCGCTCTTTATCCCAGAGTAGGTACATGATGGGTTTTCAGTAGTGGCAGCTTTTCTATTTGGACTTAAGTTTAACATTTAATAAGAGTTAATGGAAGTTTATTAAATTCTAGATTTATTTTTATAGAATTGCTGATTTTTTTTTGAGACAGGGCCTCACTATGTAGTCCAGCATGGCCTTGAACTTAATACATAGCCCAGGCCAGCCTGGAATTTGCAATGATCTTCCTGCCTCAGCCTCCTGAGTGCTGAGATTATTGGCTTGTGCCACCACACCCGGCAGTTAAAAGGGTCTTTTTTTTTTTTTTTTCATTTTTATTGGTACCAGGGATCGAACTGGCGACTGCCTGCTTGCAAGGCAGGCACTTATGCTGCTGAGCTAAATCCCTAGCCCCAAGCATATTTTTTTTTTTTTTTGTCTTTTTCTTTTTATCGGTACCGGGGATCGAACTGAACTCACGACTGCCTGCTTGCAAGTCAGGCGCTTATGCTGCTGAGCTAAACCTCCAGCCCCCAAGTGTCATTTTTTTAAGAGGTAAAGCTAAGCTAGAGAAAATCAGCTATTTTTTTCTTGTTAAATGAGAATGAATAACAAAAACTAAAGAGTCAGGATCAGAGGACAGAGCTAACCCAGTCTGGAGTAAAACTAAAATCCTGCTGTGAGTAGTTTCCAAGGGAAGAATTGTACACATTTTGGGCCGCAAACAGTTTTTGTGATGTTATGTGCCTGTACACCACTGCTCAGGAAGCTGACTCAAGAAGATTGCAACTTCCATGTCCAGCCTAGGCAATTTAGACCTGGCTCAACAAAAACTAAAAAGGTCAGGGGTGTGGCTCAGTGGTAGAGTACCTGCCTGGCTTGTGAGAGGCCTGGTTTGGTTCCTAGCAATGACTGGGGTGGGGTGAGGGAGTAGAGCTCAAGATACAAAGGTACCTTGGTTTCCAGGAAGCTGGCCCACTTGTGCTCTTCAGTAGAGGACCAAAAGGTGGATGCCATGGGGCTTCAGCAACCAATCATTCGCCAAAAGCTCTGTGCCCTGCTTGAGTTAAACTCTTGGTGTATGGCCAAAGGAGGGAAAGGCAGTGTCACCTTGGCAGGATCCAGGAATGGATGAGAAAATATTTTCAAACCCGGTTGGAGAATGATGACAACTAGCCAGAATAGGAGGCATCTATAAGAGTGTCAATGGGTGGGGCGGGTCCTACAGAGGAGACTGAAGCGATTGGCTCTGCTTGGGATGGAGGTGTGTGAGGAAAGGAGGTGACCCAGACTTTGATGTAGGGGAGGTTGCTGGGAAAACATTCAGGGGTGGGAGGAGGAAGCTAGTAATGAAAGGTGCAAAGGGGGGCGGGCACCCCAGCGGTCCAGTGGGCAAGGGGTTTCACTGGGTAGCCCAGGTGTCAGGGACTCAAGCCTACGACAGCGACCTTGAATGACTTGCTAAGGAATCTGAACTTCATTCGCTAAGGGAAGTGCAACCACCAAGATGTTAGGTAGGCACTGGATCAGCCATGTCAGTGGGGACGGGCGTGAGGGCAGCGGTAGTAAATAATTTCTGCATAGAGAGAACCTAAAGCCTTACCCACTAAGTAGACTGCTATAGTACAGGCCAGAGCAGGAAAAGGTCTGAATTGAATGTGGCATGGTAGGAAAATGGAAATTAGTACTTTTCTAAGTAGTTGCTTTAACAAATCTTCCAAACTGACTGATTTCTGACATTGTACTGCACTACAGTGTAAAGGAAGGAGTCAGAAATGCTCCCTGTTCTCTGGGTACTTAAAATGTTAGCAGATGGGCATTGAATTCCTGCATCATAATTTTTAGTAATACTAACAGGACCTATATATAAAGAATGTAATGAGTCAATTGTTTGGGAAAATGTGCTATCATAGAGTTTATTAAAAGAACCTAGATGGGAATTGCTTGATGATATCTGACCTAATTAATGCAGACAAGGACACATGGCGCATTTATGTGTCCTAAGGGTGCTTGTTCATAGCTGGAAACCTTGAGAGAACACAGCACATTACATTAATGCAGTGTGAAAGTGTTTCTATATGAGCAAGTGAAGAGGACTTTTAGGAGGGAAAACAAGTGTTTTTTTAAAAACCCAAGTTCACCTGTATTTCCGCCTACCAGTTATTAAAAATGATCAGAGATAGTTTGTTCAGTGAGACCTAAGGGGGGAAGTATTCTTAAGACTATTTCATGCTGCTAAATCTCTACAGATTTAGTTTGATCCAGTCAAATTAATGCAAAACCCCCATGCAAGCATTTGGATTTTGGAAACTTGGGAGGAGTGTCGTTCTGTAATAGTAATTATTGGTTTTACATTATTTTTTCACAGGGGAGCTGATCACAGCTGCACATGAGCTTGGAGTAAGTATTAGTTTTATTGTTTAATCAATGCTCTCATTAACAGTGTTAGGAATTAAGAAAGTTTAATTAAGCATGGAATAAAGTAGATTAATTTATTTTCAAACCCTAGTTTTTAGTAACTTATAAGTACAGTATGTGACAATTTACTTTAAGTTTTAAATCCAATTAAACTCAATTGTAAGGCAAAGCCTCTACTATATATACGGTAGCTGGCCTATTATCACCCCAAATTTTGTTTAAGCTGTGGAGAATAAAATAAATCGGGTTACAGCTTTAATAAGTTTATTATTTAATAAACTTTATTATCATGCATGATCCCTTTAGGCAAGACCTTAGGACTGTCAGCATGGTAGTAATCCAATAGCAGTGTGGTCCTTTCAACTTTCTAGGCAAGACAATGTTGTAGAACCTGCTTTCTTTCAGTTGGCTTTGAAATGATCCTGGTACTGTGAACCCAGAGGACAAACTGCGGACCAGCTGACAGTGAAATATGTTGCCTTTTCTCCAGGTGACTCCCCATGTAGGGGACACTGGCAAATCCACTAACAAAGATACATATTTGTATTGGTGCAAGAGCGTCCCCATAGGGAGGTACACTTGTCACTTGTAGTCATGGGTACTTGTGACTTCCTGAAAAGAGGGCTGCTTTGGATTCAAGCCAGTGTACCTCCTTGCCCAGATGCACCCTTCTAACGTGCTGATTTCCCATAGGTTGCGCATCCTCCTGGCTACCCTTTGTTCACACTAGTGGCTAAGCTGGCAATGACACTGTGGCCTTTTGGGACTGTTGCCTACCGGGTCAATCTTCTCTGTGGCTTCTTTGGAGCAGTGGCTGCAGCATTACTGTTTTTCACCGTTTTCAGGTACAGTAGTTGAGTTAAAATCAAATTTGAGTAACTGGAGCTGTGGTTGCTTAGGGTCTAGAGACCTGCCAAGGGGCTCCCTAAGGCCTGTGACTTCACTGTGGGCATATACTGTTCCTCTGGGTCCGTGTGAGTCCACACATGATTGCACAGTTGGTTCTGCTTTGTAAGGTGGAGTGAAGTCTCTCTGGTTAGGCAGAACTAATGCAGTTTGTCATTTTAGGGGGATGCAGATGGGCTAGTTTAATCCAACAGTATGAAGTTCATCGTTTGGTAAATGGTAAATGTCATTTAATTACTCACAACACTGCTACAGCCAACGGCCCATCAATTGGGCCTGAATCTGCACCTGTTATGTTCTAAATACTCTAAATGTAAGTGTGTGATATACTTTTTGAAATGAAGTTGTTGGCCAAGAAAGTGACATTTGGGATGTAGTGTGTTAAGGTTTCACTTTGTCCTGTGGTGGCCCTGCCTACCTCCCTAATGGAAAGCTTTCTCAGTGCTGGAGCCACTCACTTTTGAAAATCAGGTCATTAGTTTAGGTTATTGGTTAGCTCCTTTGTCTTTCATGGTTTTGTGTCCTTTATTTTTAACTTGGTCTAACCAACCCCAAGAAGGATGATAATGAAAAGCACAAATTATGCTCAGTGAAAAGGGAAAAATAAAGCACTTCTTCCAAAAACTTGGGACTCTTTTGGATTTTTAAAAAAGCAAATCATTTTTGTATGTAAATATAGTATAATTTAAATAGACATGATTTCAAATGTTATTTCTTGGAGATCAACATTTATAATGTAGTAGCCATAATACTGTCTTTCAGCTAAATTCTTTCCAAATTCCCTGGAAGTAAACATTAACATAATTATAACTCTAAAGTTTATATTTAAATCTACTTGTAGAGAGTTTTCAGATTCAAATAGTCTAATTGTTGATCATTTACTAAATTTTTATCTATATAGTTTATTTTTGTTTAATCTTACTTGTTTTCTGTGGCAGCCAAATCTTTATGAAAAACAAAATAACACCTCTGGATTGATTAGTGTTATGCATATATACTCTAAGTGGCTAGGATAATTTTGATTAGAATTACTTCTTCCAAGTCTTATATAATTAAGATTTATAAATATTTCCATTAACAGAGATGTTAAGCTTTTTTTCTATAAATATCTTTGTTGAAATTTGGAACTTAATCCATTCTATATTGAATGTGTAAACTGTTCGTTTTCTCAAGACATTTAAAGACTTAACACATATTTCAGTAGTTCATCTGGTTTTTAGATCTTTTATATAGCATATACATGTATTTAAATGTTACATAAATATGTACTTTTTAGCAAATGAAGTGATTCATTTTCTAAAACTTTTCCATGTTTTTTAAGATATTGGTGATGCTGTGCCATATGAAAACCACTATAAGAATTATATACAAAAATCTTTTCAGAATCAGCTTTGATATAATTTTCTTTTGTGTTGTCTCCATTTAAAAACAGGCTTTATTATCATGCTGATCATATGATGTTTAGAAAGCTAGTCTATGACCCTTTTCTTTTAATATACTGGATTAACTATAAATTTTTTATGCGTGCTGATGTGTTTTAAGTCAAAATTCTAATACTCTTAAATGGGGTATTTGAGTGGCTTCACTACTAGACTACTTTGGGAAAGTTTCTTTCTTTCCAAAAAGAGATCTAACAATATTATCTCTTCCATATATTTTAATATGAAAATACATCATTATTTTGTACAATTGACAAGGTACACGTCCTTGGGGAACAACCTAGTTCAAGTGGCAGCTCTATTCTGTCAAACAATAGGCCCCCTCTGCAAGGGAGAAGCCATCTCTATGGTAATAGGACTAACAGTAGCCTATTGATTGAGTGGAAGAAGACGTTATACAGTGTCAGCTGGCTTGTTACAATTTCATTTGTCGTATGACCTGAACTTAACCCCTGAAACCTTTCTCCTGTGAACATAAACCCAGCAGCAGGACAGTTTTTGTACAGCCATTACAGTGATGGCTTTTTCTCAGTCTAACACACAGGAAGTTCATTCCTTCCCAGGTTGACTCCTTCACCAGAATCTGTTTAGGAGACAGTTCCCGACATCATTCATTTAGAGACTACATCATCATTCCATCCTGCTGAATATCGGAGGGTTTGATCCAGGAAACAGTTTAATGCTTTCTTTCGCCCATCACTTAAGAGAGCATTACTGTACACATGGGATTAGTGCTGACTGGTGTGCAGGAAATTAAATCTTTTAACAGGTTTAGGTTTTCTTTTTTTTTTCAGGTAATTGTTCACATAGCATTCACTATGTTTAGCTCTTGGGGTGGACATAAAGACCTTCTATACCTTTTAAACAAAGATTGTATTTTAAAAGCAAATTTCTGTTTAAATGTGTTGATGTTAAAAGCTCCATTTTTTTTCAGTAAACACGACTTAGACTGAAAGACCAATTTATTCCTTGTTTCCAATTACTATGTAATTTTTGCTTTTCTTGCATCTTTCTCTTGCTTTTCAAAGCCATAAGATGTCATTAACACTGTATTTTTGTCAATCTTCCCTAATGGCTGGGCAAGGACTCATTTCTATTTGCTTTCCTCTGAGCTAGAAAGCATGAGTAAAACATCACTGTGAAAGCTTTGTCGTTGTGGTTTATTGAATTAAAAATAGTAAGATTATGGCAGTTTCTGCATTTATTTATGGATTGTCTCCTTCAGAGGCATTTTTAAGCATGCATTATGTTAGATGAGTTTAATACATTTCTTTTATATGAAATAATATGCGTTTAATTCAGGTACCTATCTGTATATTTAAGCTATATAATGAAGTTAGGGATTTATGGAAAGTGGAATTTTATATTTTAAGACCCTTGAAGTAAATGATTTTTAATTTAATAGTATACTTAGAGTGTTTTATTCTATTGAATTTCACAAATCCTATTAGTATAAAATTAAAAAGTTGTAAGTAATATAAATCACAAATATGAACACCATTTACTTTTGCTGGATACTTGAATTTTAGAATTGTTCTTCGGAAAACATAAAAGAGCCAGTGTAGTAAATAGGGAGGAGCCCTGAAGTCGCTGTCCCCCGGCATCTCCGTGCTTACATTTTATGTGCTCTGGAGTCACTGAAAGAGAAGGGGTGTAATGACAGCATTGCATGGTGATACTTTATTGCAGAGAAGAGGTAACTTGTGTATGCTCTCAGATGAGAGCACGTTGTAGCTGTTTTAGCAGTTACAGAACAGGGACTATATTCCTAACAGGCCTGAGCGTCAGCGTATCCTTTTCAGCTACTAGCGGCCACATGAACTGTGGACGGGATGAAGCAGAGAGGTAGCAAGTTTGAGCTCAGTCTGGGCAGTTTAGACCTTAGCTAGACCCTGACTAAAACTAAAAAAAAAACCACAAAAACGGGCTGAGAATGTAGCTCCATGCAAAAGCCCTGAGTTCAATCCCCACTAAGTTCAAGAAAAAAGAAAAGTGTGTTGAACATTTGTGTGTTGAAAGTAAAACTCTTAGTTTTTATAATCAAAATATGGTATATTTTTAAAAGTAAGATAAAGTCAACATTTAATTAACATTTTTTCAATTTTTTTTTCTAAAAGGCACTATTTTTGGAAGCTTGCATAAAAATACTAATACCACTAACATTGTGTAGCAAGAAGCCGTATCTCTGAAGGTCAAGTAGGTTCCCTAGAATATATAAATATTAATGGGTATATTGAAACTATGCCTGTGTACTACAGAGAACTTAGCAGTTTCAACCATTCTTAAATATCTCCTGGCAGATTATTTTATGTCCATAGGTCCTGTACAGGACTTTGTCATTTTCATGTTACATATTTCTAAATCTTACGTTGCTGCTAAGAATTAATTTGATTATAGTTTTGGAAAGCAAGTATGTGATTCTGGGCCCATGTCTACTGTTCTTATAGCTTCTGCTAGGATTCCATTCAATAAAGAATAGAAAATTAAAATGCCATACCTTAGAGAATGCAGAATCTCCTGCTTAAGGGACATTTGGATTTTCCAGCTCAAAGAGTATTTTAGATTATTGCCATAGAGAATAATGTGAAGCTCTTCCTAATTTCAGAAGTAACTATGCATAAGTAACAAATAGTCGCTAAGTTTTTGTAGTTGGAGAAGAATGGGAAGTACTGGAGCATTAATTTCCATTCAGGAGAATATCTGTCTTGATCCCTGGTTAATTGATCATATATTTCCCCCGTGCTTGTATTAAAATTGCATTGACTTAGACTGGTTAAGCATATTAAGAGCTTGGTTCATTTGCATTTTCTTATAAGTAGACGGACATATTAGGCTCAAATAGCAGCGCTTCGTTTTGAAGGGAAAAAAGCAGGGCAAAAACTCTTTTAAGACTGTAGAGTCTTTTCTGACAGCTAGTCAGAGTTAGAATTAGCTCAAGGAAATGGTAGTAATGCACTGGCTGGCCTAATCCCTTTGATATCACCAGGTATCCTCCTGTTCATGGGTTAATTGCTTTAAAAGCGAAGGCAATATTCTGAGCGGTGGGCCGCTTCACCTTTTCACAGCTGTTACCATTGAGTGACAACTAAATCCCATGTGTAAGATGAGGAAGAGCTCAATCTCCAATTGGGAGAAAATTTATGTAAACCGCAATCCCTTCAGAATGTGCGGAAGTCATAGACTTTCTTGATTTACTCTGCTTTTCCCAGAAAGCTCTATTGTTCACTTTCCTAAGTCCCATCAACCCTTTGTAGCAGAATATCACAGCGGCAGCAGATAGCTTGAAATATATAAATGCTATCATAGCTCTGATTAATAGCAGTGCTTATGAGTCAAGTCTGATAACAGTGCAGCTCTCCACTCAATTTCAGATACTGCTAATGGAATCTGTCTTCTCCAATTGTAATATGAGAAGGCCTAATTTGCCATGGAGCTTGGAGCTGTCACCAGTAGGGGATTGTGGGGTCAGATGGGAGCTGCCAGGTTTTTGCCCTGCAGCT